TTTTCGTCTCATTAGTGTAAAGTTTATGACTACAGGCATGTAATGTCGGGGGGTAGATATAATATACACCTTACAGGTAATTAATTTATTTTGATTGGTTTTACAAGACAACACGATTTGTCTGTTGGTTGCACGAATATTGTATTTTAATCTGTCGTTTGGCGACTAATATATGGTAATTTTTTTTTATTTCAATAATTCGCTTGCGCGTAGGGGTCTTTAGCAGTGGGAGAAGACCGGAGGACCCGGAGAAAACTCCCGAGGTTGGGGGGGCTCTACTTTTTGGGGCGAAGTTATGACTGTTTTCAGTTATAACATACATTGTGCTTACAGGTCTTTAGCAGTAGGCACAAACTTGGGGACCCAGAGAAAACTCCCGAAGGTTGGGGGACTCTACGTGTTTTGTTTTTTCTTGTGAGGGGGTGGGGGTGGGGGGGTGCAAAGTTATGACTGTTTTCAGACATAACGTAGATTGTTTATTACCATAGCAACGGTACTTGACAAACAAGACTTCGCCACAATATCGTTAAATTTTTCAAATCTGGAGCGTGTTCAAATCCATTTAAATCTAAACCACCCGATGGTCTAGAGAGTTTATTATAGAGAGAGAGAAATGGGGTTTAACGTCCACTCGACACAAACTAGGTCATTTCGTTACTAACATATGATTTAATTTTTTTTATTTCAATAATTCGCTTGCGCGTAGGGGTCTTAAGCAATGGGAGGAAACCGGAGGACCCGGAGAAAACCTACGAGGTTGGACAGGCGACCCTACGCCTTGTCACGTACAACCGGGGAATCGAAACCCGGCCAGTTGACTCAATGACAGACCGTATGATAGAGTTGATTATAGACTTATAATGTACATAAATGCCTAAAGTATAATGTATACAACATTTGAAGCCAGAAAAATGACCCACGATCGGCAGATCTTAATCCAATCTGATTAAAATACAGATCTATATTTCATTTCGGGTTTTTTTAAAAATATACTTTCGATGGCCTACACTACATGAAGATCGGACCAGTGGTACTGGAAGGTCGCATCAGGGGTCGTACGAGTGGCTTTTGACCCTATGAGGTCAGCCATTGATTAATCAATCAGCGTTGACGTTTCTAGTGGTTTACCCACAGTTCCGTGCACGGCACGCCAAAGGGTCGCCGTAACAGACAGTTTCATTGGCTAATCCCTCATGCCATCCAGAACGCCTGTTATATAACAACTCTTCCAGATCTTCGTGTAGTACAGACAAATAAAACAAAATTTTGAACTATAAAAAACGAAACGAAATGAAATAACTCTTACATAATACATCATTAAGACATGAATTCCTTTTTTTCTAAAATGGATATAAAATAATAAAATCAAATAAAACTCAAGCGGATATGAATAAAAATTCCCAAAAAATCTCCAACATTCTTCTGACAAGTGACATTACACATTTTATATGCAGTTTTTATGTAGAAAAACAATCTTCAAACAGGAAGAGAAAAATGGCTTTTGGCAGAGTGAAAGACGGGTGATAAGATGTTCTTCTGATTCGGTGTAAATGTTTTATTTTGTTTCAAGATGTGTTGGAATCTTAATAAACCAAAAAAAAAAATCCATTAAAATATCCCAGCTCATTAAACACATTCATTTTCATTAAAATAAAAACAAAATATAAAAAAACAGTAGATAACAACAATTAGCTTCTAACCGATAGAAGACGGCTCCATTGTTATAAATCGTGGTATGGGATGGGGTTGTACCCATCTCAGTTTCACAACGGTTTTTTTTTTCTATTTAACCCTTGTGCTTTATACAAGGGATATTTCGGTACCCCACGACCATATCCTTCAAGTTACAATTTCATATTTTCTAAGAAAGTCAAAACATAATTATTTCTATGTCTTTTGCTCAATGGGTTGTCAACTCACTATTATAAGATCATAGGTTATCTTTCTCACACTTAAAAATCTTCACACCGGAAATAATAACACAATTTCCTCCCATGTTTCCCTATTCCCCACCATGGAATTGCTATCTTCAAACGTTTGAATTTGAAGTTGAAATGATATTTTTGCCAATTTCCCAACTGGCAATAGTGAATTATAGGATTAATAGGATTATTCTTTAACAAGGTAGGGCTGTTTATAAATACCATCTATTTTAGGGCTTTATTTTAATACATTTTAAAAATATAACTTAAAAATATGAAATTGTAACTTTAACGTTTGCGAGGAGCTAGTTTCATTATTGTCTAGCGAGAATTTTTATACATTGTCAGCAAGCCTGGAAATAAGACACCTGTCACTGACAATGTCAGGCACAGATTCAGGCTTTGTCAGTCAGAAAACCTCTGGTGCCTGTCATTTTGTCCGGATCTGATACCTCTTTTTTGCTGTTATTATTAATACATGTCTGGCACTAAGTTGAAAATGTCCGGTACTATTTCATTAGTGCCTGACATTTTGTCAGGTACATCTAAAAGCGTTATTTCCAGGCCCGATTGTCAGCTACTTAATGTCGAGTCTAATGCTGCAAATCGAATGGAAGTGAGGCAGTGGCAACATTCATCATTTGGCAAGAAACTACGAGTATTACATTATCGGACACAAGGGGTATTGTGGACCAACACCCCCACCCACTTTCAATATTTTGCTGGTTACGAGTGTCTAATCTGTTCTGCGATTGGTGCTAGCTTTGTGTTTGGAATCTTTCTTATTGATAATATTGTGTTGGTCATTCTAGCAATCTAGATCTGAAAACAAATCTAGGTACTCTACCAACCCCGTCAAAAGACGATTCTACATTGGAAATGACAATTAACTTATTGGTAGATTTGTATGGTTTTAAAAATACATTAAAATTCATATCATCACTGTTAATACATCAAATATTTTTATTTACTTTGATTCAGTATTATTCAGTCTTTATATGAAGCTGTAGTTTGATCATATTTGAATAAAAATATGCATCCAAAAAACAATTTATGTCTGGGGTTCTAGACCCCTTGTTGCAGACAACGTTTTTTGTGCGACGTAACAAGGGTTAAAAAAAACCAAAGAGAGAGAGAGAAATGGGGTTTAACGTCCACTTGACACAAACTAGGGCATTTTGGGACTAACCTATGGTTCAGTTTTATTTCCATAATTCACTTGCGCGTAGGGGTCTTTAGCGGTGGAAGGAAACCGGAGGACCCAGAGAAAACCCACGAGGTTGGACAGGCGACCCTACTCCTTGTTGACTCAATAATAGACTTTATGATACAGCGCGCACGTGCTAACCATTCAGCCATCCAACCCCCCACAACCCAAAGAAATAGAAATCTAAAATACACCGACCCTTAAAGTGTAATTATGTAGAGAAGTGACAATAATTTATCCTATATTTTATTAGAACAAAATTGTGAGTATTCCACGATGGTCCAGTGGGTGGGACGCTGGCCCGCTAACCAGTATTCCTTATTGTGGTGGCCCAGTGGGTGGGGCTTTGGCCCACTAACCAGTATTCCTTACTGTGGTGGCCCAGTGGGTGAGGCTTTTGTCCGCTAACCAGTATTCCTTATTGTGGTGGCCCAGTAGGTGGGGCGTTGGTCAGTTAACCAGGAGGTACCAGGTTCGACCCCAGTGATGCAGAACGGAGGAGGACATGACAAAGAACAACGTCTGATCGTTCGAATGGGACAAAAAACAAGGTTCCTTGGACAAGTTAGTATGTACTAGGCTGTAGTACGGCTGTCTGGGCAAAATTTCTTTCATGGCGAATGAACATGTCCATTAGCCTGGATGGAACAGACAAACAGGACGGTAAATCCCATCTTATTTGAATAATGTTTTGTTAATGTTAATGGTCTTGTTTTGTTAATACATGTTTAATTAATGTCTAATTAATAAGTAATATAACATTTCAGGCCTAAAGAAAGACCTGCAATAGGCAGATTTAGCTCTTGCATAATGTATGTTTAAATATAGGTTCAGTTAGGTCGTAATAAATGTTTTTGTTGTGTTTTAGAAGGTACATTGGGTGTCTGTAATGAGCTGTGTGGTAACCATGGAGATGTACTATTATTTTAGTGTTCACTCAAAGAACACGGCCTAGCTGGAATTCCTCGGGACGGCGCTCCGGAGTTTTCCCCGTCTGGTTCTCGCCTCTTTCTCTCTGTGTCGCGTCAGTAGGAGTAGGCGGATACAAGAGTTAAGCTGATTAAAATATTTCGTTTCGTTTTTTTGATCGATGGCCTGCACTACATGAAGATCTGAACAGTTATCGTAGAAGGTCGCATCAGAGCTCATACAAGCTGCTTTTGACCACATGACGTCAGACATTGATTAATCAATCAGCGTTGACGTTTCTAATGGTTTACCCACTGTTCCCGCATCGCACGCCAAAACCTCGCCCTAATAGATGGTTTCATTGGCTAATTCCTCACATCATCCAGAACGCGGGTTATATAACAACTTTTCCAGATCCTAGTGTAGTACAGACAAGTAAAACGACAACAACGTCCTGCCAATGTCCAAGAACTTGCTGCTGCGTTGCAACAGGAGTGGGACAATCTGGACCAAAATGACCTTAGACGTCTCATTAGGAGTATGCCACGTCGGATCAATGCTTGTTTGGCAAACAGAGGAGGATTTACCCGTTACTGACTTGGTTGTGATGCTGTGGTAACTTTGCTGTTTGACCCCGGGTATCATTTTACCCTTATAATGGTCGGTCTGTGCCTTATTTAGTCTAACGATCATTTGGAATAAATCGATGAATGTGAACTTCATTTCATTTTGTCATTTGTTTCTTCGTCAGTTTCATTAGGTGACTTTAATAACACTTAAAAATCAAATATCCCCTACTTTTTTTGAATAGTATAACAACTCTTCCAGATCCTAGTGTAGTACAGACAACTAAAACAAAATTTTGGACTATAAAAAACGAAACGAAAAAGGGTCTGTGTTTTAATCAGATTAATACTAGGGTTAACTGTAAATTTAAACGAAATAGAGATAAATATAATTACCCGTTGGTCCCCTCCTTGCCATGTCAGATTCACGGTATCAACCTGAGATGGAATAGGGGGTAGCTCATCAGATAATCCGGGCTCCATGAGTAAGGCCTCCACTCGTCCATTCTCGATGATTCGAAGTTCAATGTGATAACCTGTAAAACATATAACAACAACAATTTCACTCCCGGAAATAATAGTTCAACTTGGCTTTTAACCGCTTTATGTTTCGTGAAATGAAAAATGAAATGAAATGGGGTTCTGTTCCGAACTGGGCTAATGAAGACGGGCATACGCCATACAGTGTGCTATGAGGGAAATTTTGCCCGGACAGCGGCACTACGGCCTACTCTTATATCGAATTCCAGCTGTCAGTCAAGGGATCTTTTACGTGAACGCCAATGTATACACGGGACCTCGGTTTTTCGTCCCATCCGAACGACTAGACGGAAATGAAATATACCCTGTATAACAAGAATGAAACCTTAAAGAATCATTATGGGAGATTAGATAATGAGCTGGCAGTTCTCACTATAATAGTTAAAAACTAGATAATGTAAAGGGAATTTGCTGAAAATATCAGTCAAATTGATCCACTCGATCATCATTACTAAAGTCGGTTCAATAAAAAACATAGTCTCGAATATCCATTTTTTTTAATTTAATAATCACTGAGCGTTGAGCAGCAGATCGGATTCAAATCCAGTAAATATTGCAGGCTAGCGATGACACCGAGAGTTGATTATGGTCTGAATAAGTTAAATTAATGTCTAATTAATAATTTATATAATAATTAATAATTTTTCGTCCCATCCGAACGACTACACAGCTGTCCTTGTCATGCCCTCCGTCCTGCATCACTGACAAGGGGAAACCAAAGTGTGAAAAGAGGCTTTTCAATTAGAACTTTGGACCATAAACCCCATTTCAATCCCTCTTTCTCCCTGTACAAGGACAGAGTTATCTGTTTGGCTTATTCTCATCGTTAGAAAAAAAAACAAACTTATAGTTAACTATGACATCCAATACGACAAATTTAACACTGTGTTCGTGTCGTCATGACGTAATAAATCAAGTCATAGTAATCAAAATAATGGAGGCTTAATTAATAGGCAGCTTGGTTGGTGGTAGTAGTGTTACAGAAATTAAATTGTACCTCCAACTCTCAAGTTAAAAGATATATTTTCTATGATAAACTTTTGGTGATCTGACGGGAAACATGCACACTAAAAATCTACGAGTTATTTTATTATCTCGACGAGTGTCTAAATCTGAATTAATACCATAAATCACTCTAAGGAATGCTACGATAAATTTCTACCTGGTTTAAACCTCGGATAAACACAAAAACTTCTAGTCATAACCGTCATCTCATCTAATTGAATAATCCAGATAACCTCCGAGGGAGGGTGGCGTAACATATCAATAAAAGCTATTAGTTTTAACTCCCACTTGATTTCAACATGTAATAGGTTTACAAGATAAGAGTAAACTTGAACCTTATTCTCGGTTCGTTTCATGTTTTATTGGGATTTAAATTTCTTATAAACACTTAAGCTTTATATTTATCACATACATTAATATTATTTCGTTTCCCGGTTTTTTTTAGGTGCGGTGTTTTGTAACATTGTGGTGATTCGTATGATATGAGCGAGTGTTTTTTTTCTCTCTGAGAAATATATATAGGCCTATATTGATAAATAGCGGAAACGGACTTATTTTAACTGTTAGAGAGATAAACAGACTTGTTGATATAAACAAGTATTTAAAGAAAGATATATGACTGAACTAATTATTATTCCACAGTTTAAACCTTCATATATATTTATTATATTTACAGAGAGAGAGAGAAGGAGAGAAAGAGAGAGAGAGAAAGAGAGAGAGAGAGAGATGTCAATAAATCGCTTGCGCTTAGCGGTCTTTAGCAGTGGGTGGAAACCGGAGGACCCGGGGAAATCAATCAAGACGGGGTTTGTTTTACTCTTTCTAGACTCTAGAACACTAGAACACCCGATACCACTCTTGTCAGAGAGAGAGAAAAGAGGAAGAGGGAGAGAGAGATGGGGTTTAACGTCCACTCGACACCATTTCTGGACTAACGCATGGTTCAATTTTATTTAATAATTCGCTTGCGCGTAGGGTTCTTTTGCAGTGGGGGGGGGGACCGGGGGATCCCTGAGAAAACCCACGAAGTTGAACAGGCGACCCTACTCCTTGTCGCGTACAACCGGGGAATCGAAACCACGAAAGCAACCGAGATCTTTTGGAGATGAACCAATATTTCAAGTTTCGTCAAAATCGGACAAAAATTGTGACCTGAGAGTGTCTACAAACAATTGTGGACGGACGGACGGACGTCCAGACGTCCGGACGTCCGAACGGACAGGGGCGAGGACAATATACGTCCACATGATAATGTGGGCGTATAAAAAATATAAATCAAAGAGTCATGACGACAGGTCAGTGAGCATAGCACTGGCTCAATAACCAAGAGGTATCGGGTTCGATTCCTGTTTCCCCAAGACATTCCTGATAGTTCCCCCTTATCAGTGGCGCAGGATGGACGATTTGGGACAAAACAAACCCCACCACATCCCATGTATGTCAGACAGAAAAGATTTAGATACTCCCTCTCTCTCTCTCTCTCTCCCTCTCTCTCTCTCTCGGAGCCAAGGTGGAGGAGTGGGTAAGACGCTGGCTCACTAGTCTGGAGGTCGCGTGTTCGATCCCTGCATTGCCGAGATTTTCCGATGTGCTTTCCCCTTGTCAGAGGTACAGGAAGGATGGCTGTCTAGTCGTTCGGATGGGACGAAAAACCGAGGCCCCGTGTATACGTAAAAGATCCCTTGGAATTCGATATAAAAGTAGGCCATAGTGCCGCTAGCTGGGCAAAATTACCCTCATAGCACATTGTATGGCGTATACCCGTCTTCATTAGCCAAGTATCGGAGCAGAACAATAGGACGTTAAACCCCATTTCATTTCATTTCTCTCTCTCTCTCACACACACACACATACACTCTCTCGTCTATGCTAAGTAGAGAAAAGCGTTAGTAAGGGCAAGAAAATTCACCGGTTGATTGGAACTGATTCAATCTTCACACCTTTATTAGATTTATCTCCGATCACCCAGACGTATATCAAGTTAATCTACAGTTATCCAGCCACAACAGATCAATGAACGTGTAGTTATGTGCGTAAATTACGGTGTATTGATTGTATAGTGTAAGATAACAACACATCCATTGCCATTAATGTGGATATTAACTGATGATGGTGATGTGTTAATATCGCTAAATCTATTTGCTAAGGCCACCTCAATTTTTGTCAAGGCCGTTGAGATGCAAATAAGGTAAGGGTACGCGATTGTTGGCGAGATTGTTGGTTAGGGTTTGGGTAAACATTGGGGCTAGGTCCAGGGTTAGGGTTAGGGTTAGGGTTAGCGCTAGCCGTGTTTACATCTCGTGACCTATGACGAAAAATTGAGCTGGCCTTATCATTTAGCACTAAACACGTTAATAACGATTGCCAAGCCTCCACCATCCCTCGCTATAAATGTTGATTGTATCTCATTATTATTATTATTATTATACCAGAACATGGGCAATAAACTCGCTGGATCAGATTAATAGGACTACATGCTGACAGTTTCCCTAAAACAATTCGTCTGACTCCAATAATTGCGTACTTTATTTCATGATAAAACAGAATCCATATTAGGTATGTATTATAGCTACTCTTGTCCCATACTCCTCACAGTGTTTCGTTTGATTAGACCTAATCCCACTCAACACTGCTGTAATGAAAGTAAATTTCTGTTCCAAATTATGACTGGGAAATAGTTCGATTAGCAAACAATACCTAACTGCGTAACAATATCATTCGGGTTTAAACAGAGCTCCAAATATGTTTACATGACGTTACGTTATAACTCACGAAATTTATTACGCTCAATTAACCAGTGCATAACAGAATATTGTCGAGATCTAATTGCGTGACAAACGAGGCTATCAAAATGTCTACAATGTAAACAAACCTGTTTGGAAACAACCAATATTTTCACCGCTTTCAATACCTTAAATCCATGTCCAAAGTTTTCGAGAAGACCACAGATTAAACGAAGGGCTGCCATGTTGTTGTACTTAGACACACACCCTCAAAAGATCAAGTATCAGAAGCCAATCTGGCCTTTGCTTCGGGAATATGCTCTCTTGCCCTTTAAAGCCCGGACATGCCACAAACGATTAAAGAAGCTAAACACCTTTAAAGTTTTTTGAGGTTTAAATAAAGTATTGAATTAGCCTCATCTGATGTGTTGTAATTTAGATTTAAATAAAGTATTGAATTAGCCTCATCTAATGTGTTATAATTTAGATTTAAATAAAGTATTGAATTAGCCTCATCTAATGTGTTATAGCTTAAGTTTAAATAAGTATTGAATAAGCCTCATCTAATGTGTTATAATTTAGGTTTAAATAAAGTATTGAAATAGCCTCATCTGATGTGTTATAGCTTAAGTTTAAATAAAGTATTGAATTAGCCTCATCTAATGTGTTATAGCTTAAGTTTAAATAAAGTATTGAATTAGCCTCATCTAATGTGTTATAATTTAGGTTTAAATAAATATTGAATTAGCCTCATCTGATGTGTTGTAATTTAGGTTTAAATAAGTATTGAATTAGCCTCATCTGATGTGTTGTAATTTAGGTTTAAATAAAGTATTGAATTAGCCTCATCTAATGTGTTATAGCTTAAGTTTAAATAAGGTATTGAATTAGCCTCATCTGATGTGTTATAATTTAGGTTTAAATAAAGTATTGAATTAGCCTCATCTAATGTGTTATAATTTAGGTTTAAATAAAGTATTGAATTAGCCTCATCTAATGTGTTATAATTTAGGTTTAAATAAATATTGAATTAGCCTCATCTAATGTGTTATAATTTAGGTTTAAATAAGTATTGAATTAGCCTCATCTGATGTGTTGTAATTTAGGTTTAAATAAAGTATTGAATTAGCCTCATCTAATGTGTTATAGCTTAAGTTTAAATAAGGTATTGAATTAGCCTCATCTGATGTGTTATAATTTAGGTTTAAATAAAGTATTGAATTAGCCTCATCTAATGTGTTATAATTTAGGTTTAAATAAAGTATTGA